CACTTGGTACTATTGTTACATGTACCCTCTTTTCAATTTCATTTTCATTCTTTGTCTTCTCATATTGAGGACACTGTGACATTCAAGTTTGGGGGTGCATTATTGTATTTTTGGTTTTACACTTTTGCTTGGTATTACACTTTTGCTTGCATGTTTAACTTGATTCATGTAAGTTAATAAAAATCATTTTTGGGAAGCAATGATAGAGTAATCTTGGAACTTGTTAGAGATTGAAACATATGTTTAATACTTTGTGTATAGAGGCAAATGATAATTTTTGAAAATAAAGAAAAAAAAAAATTCAGAAATGATCATGTGAACTCAAACTGGTTTGTATAAAGGCTTCAATTAGATTTTCATTGAATTTCATACTCTTCTATGCTTCACGCTGCACAGATGCACACCAGAAACTTAATTGTGAGGCATGCAATCCGATTTACCTTGACCATGACTCAGTTGATTTGAATTGATAACCCTAATGAATGGATATCTTTGGCATTGAATTTTAAAAAAATAATATATATATGAATGAATAAGGATAATGACTAGTTTAAGTTCGTAGCCTTGTTAACTCGAGTTATTAAGCCCTAGGAGTGTTTTTACACTTAGCACCCTAAAGCCATCCGGTTTGGGAGTTACTGGCCTAACGCTTGCTACATGGGTTGGTTAGAAAGCTTAAGGGACTTAGGCATTGCACGGTCATTCACAAAAACAAAAATAAATAAATATGGTTCATTGAAGTTCATAGCCTTGCCAATTCGAGTTATTAAGCCCTAGGAGTGTCTTTACACTTAGCACCCTAAAGCCGTCCGGTTTGGGAGTTGCTAGCCTAACGCTTGTTACATGGGTTGGTTAGAAAGCTTAAAGGACTTCGATACTGCACGACCATAATATGTTAAAAAAAAAAAAAAAAAAAAAAGAAAGAAAAAAACAACATCAACAAAAGTTACATTTGGAATAAATTCATGCCTTAGAGACCTTATTCAAAAAGGGAAATCCAATGATTTGAAGCTTGTGTTTTGAAATTGGAAAAAGAAGGTAAAAGCCACATATTGGGAAACCGGTTCACTTTCACTGAAGTTAGAGTTGATTTCTATTCAAGAGATGACAATTGGATTATTTATGAAGACTATAATGTTGATGCATGAGATTTGAAATATGTTTAGCCATTTTGTATATCAAGGCCTATATGCAAGGTAGTCTGCTTAATGATCCCATCTCCAATATTCTGTCTGTTCCAAGTTACAATTGAGCTATATATGTATTTTCTTGCACCATGATTGATGCATGTCGATAGTATTTCAAATCTTATCATTTTGTTAAGAGTTTCATTTTTGGTTTTTGCTATGGGACTAGCAAAATGTAAGTTTGGGGGTGTGATAAGCGCCAAATATTGCATATTCAAGCGCCCTTATTTGCATTAGTTAAGTCCATTAGTTGATTCTATTGTATATATTAACCTTAATTGCATTCTTTTGTCCATTTTCAGGTTGGTGCCCCTAAGAGGGGTAAAAGTGACGCTTTGATAAGTTTTTGAAGATCAAAGCACGCCGTTGCCGGGAACCGTCATTTTGGCCGAGTCAAGTAATCCACGGAACTCATGACGTTCAATACATAAAGTCTAAAGAAGAAGAGTGGCGTCAGCAGTCCGTGCAAAAAGGAGGTTTAAGATATATATATATATATATATATATATATATATATATATATATTCAGAGTAGAGCTAAGAAGGCGCGAGCGCCGCCAAAACCTCCATATTCATCTAGCCAGTGCGCGTCCCCACCGTGTCTCGCGAGCCCCAGCCATTATACACCGCGGGTCCCCGCCAGGCCCTCGCGGGCACCCGTCAAACATGCCAGTGCGCTCATTAAGGCGCGGGCGCCTGCCATTTTATAGACAGCTCTGCATTGTTTCTTCCAATGCTGTCCCCTTGACCTTTTTGTGTGGTCCTAATTTATCTTAGAGTAGTAGAGCCACGAAAATGGGGGGAAAATGAGATTATTTTGGCCAGATAAGGGCTTTGAGGCTATGATATATGGATCTCACATTTTTTGCTAAGTTTAGAGAGAGAAATATTGGGTTGAAGTGGGTTTGTGTGCTAAGAAGCCCCTAGGTACGAAAATGGAGAGTGAGGCCTCTTCTTCTCCTTCATTCCTTGCATCCATGGGTAACTAACTCTCTATCTAGGGAGGTGATGAAGCCATCCCTTGTAAGCATGCTTTAGTTTCATTTAATTTGGGAAATGATTGATGTATATGGTGGTTCTATGATCTAGAGCACCTTACATTTGTAATGGATCTTTATTTATATAAATGATTATGTTGAATCTATCATCTTGTCTTAGATTATATTCTCACATGATTGTATGGCTTGCATTTTCATAGTGAGTATGGAAATGAGATTGTGGAATGGGTTTTGTTGGCATGTTGTATAAGAAGCTTGTTAGTCCATTACTTAGGCTTTCCTTTGATGGATTTTATCTTGATTCTTAATTCCATGTGCTATCACTATAGTGATTGAGGGGTTTGATAGTCCCTAGCTTAGTGAGCATGTCATGGCTACACTCTAATTTAGGTAGTTCTAGCATGTAGTACTTTGAGGGACTATACTTAAGTTTTGATCCTATGAATTTCTTGAGGATAATGTAGCAATCTAGTATTGCTACATATCATTGCCATGTAGTGAAATTGTTTCCCAAGTTAATAGCAATTTAGCACGTTTATAGGGTAGGTAGTGAATTCACTTCCTTAGTCCTCTCTACCTAGATTTCATTCCTCTAAATTTCTTGCAAATTGTTGTTTTTATGCAATTTTAATTCCTAATTCTAGTGACAAACCAAACCAAAACTCTATACCCCTTTTATTAAACTAAAAGTGAATTTAAAGACCTTGGTTGCCATAAACTAGCAGTCCTAGTGGTTTGACTTACCCGTCCAATAGCTCTATTTTACAAAGATTTGTGTTATTGCAAAGGGTTAATTTATTATAGATCGAATCTTATCCGATCAGCCTTCTTCTTTTTTAGCAGATCATCTTTCTCTATATTTTCTTTGTTGTTTTCCTCTTCTTCCATCACAAACCCCTTTCCTCCTTTACAAATTTTATTTTTTATTATTAACAAAGCCCTATTTTTATTTTTTTCTCCACAAAACCTTAATTTTTCTTATATCTTTGTATTTTCTTAATTAAACTGTTTCACTCTCTCTAACATAATGTCTTCTTCTCGTTCTTTTTTTTTTTTTTTTTTTTTTTTTTTTTTTCTCCACAAATCCCTAATTTTAGAAAGGAATTAGATATTCCAGTTTAGCTTATTCTCTCTTCGTCTCTTATTTTTTTCTATAAGACTGTAATATTTTGTTTAATTTTTGGTTTTGATGACAACAAATCCCAGAGGGAGTTGAGAAATTCTACTTTAGCCTACTATCACGCCCCGCCTATGGAGGTTACACCACGTAGGCGACACACGCGGGCACTGAGTTGGACGCTGCATGGCGACTACATGGCATCGGAGTTTCTAGAGTCTTCTGGAGTAATCTAGAGTTGTGTTGAAGATTCTAGATATGTGTAGAATATTATAGACGTGTGTGGAAGGTTCTAGATTTCTCCAGAGTTGTGTAGAATAATATGGAAAGTTCTAGAATGTTGTAGATACTTGTAGATATATATAGAAGTGTCAAGAAGGTGGGAGAAAATTCTAGAGAATCAATCTCCACCATCGGTTATAATGCATCCTAGCCATCCATTAGTGATGGGGAACGCATCCCAAGAATACACAGAGGCCAAAGCCTAAAGAAAAGAAAAAGAAAAGGGGGACTTAAGGACCTAAGGAGCCTAAAAGATCAACAAATTCCTCTAAAGATGTACAACATCTCCCCATCCCCCAACAAAACATAAAAACAATAATGTGGTGTTTTAACATTCGTATGGGAAATTCCTCCTCATCAAAAGATTTATAATTTCGTTCCTTCCAGATGCCCTACCAAATAGAGAAAGGAGCCACCCTCCAAAGATGACGAGTGTGAGAACCCACACCACAACCTTTCTAAGAGTCAATCAAACATCTCGAGGACCAGGGCATGACCCACTGTATACCAAACAAACCAAAAATCAAACTCCAATAGTCGTGAGCTACAGGACAATGCAAAAGAAAATGATCCACTAACTCTTCATCCCTCTTACACATGCAACACCAATTAACCGTATTCTATCTTCTCCTTCTGAGGTTATCAAGAGTTTGAATCTTGCCCCAAGCAGCAGTCCAAACAAAAAAAAACCACTTTAAGGGGAGCCTTCGAGCACCACACCGTCTTCTAAGGAAAATTAGCCTTGTGAAGCTTGAGAGGCAGCCAAAAAAGGATTGGACATCAAAATCCCCTCGGAGGAGGGCACCTAGATAAGGGAATCAGGGCCTCCCCTATCTAGTGTCTGTCGATACAGCATAGACAACAAGTTATAAACATCATCCAATTCCCAATCGTAAAATAGCCTTCGAAAACGCACATCCCAAGTGATCCTCCGGCTATCAAGCCGATAACAATTAGCCACCCATGCATGTTTGTTAACGACAATCTTGAAAAGCTTGGAAATGAATAAGCCAGCGAACGCTCACCACACTATAAATCTTTTCAAAGCCAAGTGTTCCTGCCATCTTGAATTCTGAATTTGATATGTTTAGAAAATTTATCCCAACACTTACAAATAAACTTCTAAACACTAATACCACTGGAAGATATAACCACTCGAGAGCACCACCCACATCTCTCCTCCTTGTAGCAGCATCAAATGACCCTCCTCCATAACTGATGGTGCTCACCTCCAAATCTCTATAGCCATTTCCCTAGCAAGGCCCTATTAAAAGGGATCACTCTCCTGATGCCTAAGCCACCCAACTAAATAAGCCTGTACACCTGGTCCTACCGAACAAGCCCCCCTCCCCCCCAATCTACCCTAAAGGAAGTTCTGCTAGAGTTTCTTGATCCTATCAGCCACGGAGGCCGAAATCTAAAAGAGAGAGATTAAATCAGTAGGAAGATTTGACAATGTGTTTTTCATGAGGGTGGCCTTCCCACCCTTAGAGAGGTAATGCTTCCACCTGACAAGCCTCTTCTCAAACCTCTCAATCACAAGGTCCCAACCCCCCACCCTTCTTAATGATGAACCCAAAGGCAATCTTAAATAAGAAATAGGGAAATGAGAAACCTCACACCCTAGAGCTGTAGCAAGATTAGCAACGTCGTGCACCTCCCCTACCAGGACTAAGGAACTCTTTCCCACATTCACTTTTAGCCCAGAGACAGACTGGAAACAAACCAAAACACACCTTAAGAATCTCAATTGGGACACATCTGCATCACAAAATACCAAAGTGTCATCTGCAAAGAGTAAATGAGAAATATCGTTGGTTGATCCAAATCTCTACCCACCCTGAAGCCCCTAATGAAGCCTAAATCCATGGCCCTCATTAATGTGCTGAGAGCCTCCATAACAATAATGAACAAAAAAAGGAGAGAGAGGATCTCCTTGTCTCAAACCTTGAGAACTGCCAAAAAAAGCCAGACAAGTCCTATTCATCAAAACTGAAAACCTGATAAATGAAATACAGAACATGATCCACCTCCTCCATCTCTCCAAAACCCAATATCTCCAACATACTCTGTTACATGGACTCTTCAAAAGTAGTGAAGTACCGGTGTCGGATGCATATCCCTTGGACATGGTTATAAGATATGTGTCTGACATTTTTGGCTAGACATGTACTTAAAAAACATATCCAATCATTCAATTACATTATATTATTCCTTTAAAAAGAGTTAAATGCCTATATTGAACATTATATTAGATAAAAACATTACTCTAGAAAATAAAATAAAATAATTAATAAAATGAATATTTAATCGTGTCTATATGTCATTCTATTTGGAGATTTGACACGTCCGACACATGGATACATACCCATGTCCAACACCCGTACTCGAGTCCATGTAACATAGCCAACATATACAATAGAAAAATCCAATTCACATGGTTGCAGGCTTTCTCAATATCAAGCTTTCAAAGAACTCTTGGAATACCACTACTCAATCTAAAATCAACACACTTACTGGCAACAAGAGAAAAATCAAGGATCCGACGACCACCGATAAAAGCATTATGGGATTATGAGATAACTCCATCCAAGACATCCCTTAATCTCAAAGCAAAGACTTTAGCAATAAGTTTGCACGTACACCCCACCAAACTAACATTTAAAATCCTTAACATCAGTAGCCCCACCTTTCTTGGGAATCAATGGAATGAAAGTAGCATTTTAGGATTTGTCGAACTACCCATGAGAATGGAATTCCTGGAATGCCCCTATCACCTCACCCTTGACCACACCCAAACTTTTCAACATGAAGTCCCCACCAACACACCATGGGAGGGCCTATAGCCCCCTCTCAAAGCTGAGCTCATGCCAAAGAATGTGTCTTTCCCCATTATCCACTAGACTATGCACATCGGAGAAAGCCCACCTAAATTCATCCTCCTTTATAACAAAAGCACGGGAAATAGAGAAACTCCCTCTCCAAATGTCCACCCTCAACACCCATCTCCTATCCCACATAACAAGAGTACCCCTCGAAGTGCCAAAAACATCTAATGGTTCCCACTAAACAAAACGCCCACCCTAAAGACTCCTTACCACCCATCCAAAATTGAGGCAAGCTTTGTATAACGACCCAAATCCACTGGATCCGGATCATTAAACGGGTTCTTGCCTAACCCAAAATCATCTAAGGGTAATACGGTCCTTTCACGTTAAATTTATATATTGAAGTCCGAAAAGAATAGGATGGTAATTTGCCACAATTCAAATGGTTTGAGACTCAAAGGACATAAATGTCATTTACTCGTATCACATAATAAATAAAATAAAGTCTGGGACAATATAGTCTTTTCTATGGTCAAAATATAATTAATATATTTTATTGGGCCTTATTATGTGTGACAATACACTTGAGATAGTGGTTAAGGGCAAAATGGTAAAATAAGCCACAAACATTCACTACACAGGAACTGGTTGATGTATGGGAGGCTACACGTCGACTGGTTAAACACATGTACAGTGGAAAAGCTCATTGCCAAGATACCGGTCGACGTGTGGGAAATTCACGTCGACTGGTTCAGGTTATTCGGTCGACGTATGGGATTTCACGTCGACTGGTTGGATTATCCACACTCAAAATGCCACTGTCTGAAGGAAACCGAGATACACCAACTTTGATAACAAATCACCCAACTCCACCTTACCCGCGTACATATTTAAATACATTTCAGCACCTAATACAATAACAACAACCACATTGTTAACATAATTTACAACACGTTACATAAAATACACTAAAAGATTTAGGGTGATTAAAACTTAATTACATTTCCCCAATGGCTATACACAAAATGAACCTAAAAACATCACATATTGCAAAATCATACATTTTGAGTCAACACTTTATAAAATTAGGCCCAATTACAAAAGATAGCAAAACAAAAAAAAAAAAAAAAACATTTTTCTACTCCAAGCTAAGGCAAGGGTGGATTGTCGTCCATTATTTCTTTTCCGTGTCCTAAAAAAAATTAAATAAAAAGGGGTGAGCAATTGCTCAGTAGGTGGCGCCTAAGACACACCTCTTGTAGCCCCGTGAACCCAAATAATGAATAGGAATAGAAGATAGGTCCTGCTATGTCAGGAAAGAATACAACATTAATTCTAAATTTCTAATTAAACAATGCCGTGCCTTGATATGCGATGCCATGTATGTCACTCCCTATTTTCAAAAATCCAAATCCATCACTTTTCAAACTGTTAATATAACCTGTCCGTTGGTGACTCAGCGATACGAGAGAAGGATTGGCTACTGTCCCTAACCCTTGGTACCCTCGCGGCGTCATTTGGGGCCCAGATAGCTTAACCATGCTAGGATGTTTCCCCTAGTTCTCTCTAGGTTACATTAACACACCGACCTTTTGGTGACTTCACGGCGACTAGGTTTTCTCAAAACCATTTAATCAAAATTCTTCCCAAAATTTCCCTTTTTCATTTTAAACAAATCATTCCCATTTTTCTCCCAATGCTTATGCATGACTATGTCATGCCATACATACATACATACATGTATATATATCATTCTTCAACAATTTCAACTTAAACTGCACAAAAAAATTTCACATGCTCTCTCATAACATTTCTAGCAAGTTAACAACACAATGAGCATAGAAAACTACACTTAAACATACTTTCCATCCAAATCAAGTAATATATATAGTTACATGCTTCATATACACATTTAAGCCATTTTAAAACAAAATTAAGACAATCAAACATATCAAATAACAAGTAACAAGTATATAACTCACATAAGCACAAAAATGCATGGATTAGAAGCCCCTACCACAAGCTAGATGAAAATCCCCAATTTGTACCCTAGAATTTTGAAAATTGCAAGCTTAACCAAACAAGAAATTATTTACATCAACGTGAAGTCCACGCTGAGATCTTCGAATTGCTGTAAACGGCTTCAAAAAATTCCAAGTAGTGAAGGAGGAATCAAGAATTGAAGTTTGAAACCCCAAAGAAATAGAAAATTCTAGAAGAATAAGGAGGGGGAGAGAGCTACAGGAGAGTGAGAGAAAATGAGAGGCCTAAATGGCCTTCCAAATAATAAAAGAGGTGGTGGTGGGTCCCACCACCAAAAATAATTTATTTTCCCTTTATTTTTATTTTCTTTTTACACTACACACTTACATATATACATTTCATTCACAATCACTTAAAACACAATAAATAAAATAAATATGATGAAAATGGACCCGACTAAAATCCCTGTATACAACCATTCCGGTAGCGGGTCCCACACAGGACCGTCCAGCCTGAAAAATGAAAAAATGCCAAAACGATCACCCTTGCATTTCAAAGAGTCTTGGACTCAGTGAAATGCTCCAAACAACTCTCAGACACAACTAACACACTCCACAGTGTCCGGTACAAAAAAGGACAAAGGATGAAAATGCCCTTACAACGACAAAAATTCCGAAAAAGTGAAAAATGATGAAAAATGGAAACATCACAATCTCCTCAACTTAAAAGAATTTTGTCCCCAAAATCAAGCCATACTTGGGGAAGAAAACAACTCTGAATACTTGGAGCGAACCTCTTGTTCAAGCTCCCAAGTAGCCTCCTCGACTCCGTAGTGCCTCCAAAGAACTTTCACTAACGGTATCGTCTTGTCCCTTAACACCTTCTACATTGTGTTAAGGATCTGAACTGATCCTTTTTCATAGGAGACATCCTCATCAATATCCATATCAACCCAATCCAAAATGTGTGATGGATCCTCTTGTTCATATTTTCAGAGCATCGACACATAAAAAACATTATAAACCCTGTCCATCTGAGGTGGCAAAGCAAGTCTGTAGGCAACCTCTCCTACACGGTCCAAAATCTCAAATGGTCCAATTAATCATGGCGATAGCTTGCCATTTTTCCCGAATCTTATCAATCCCTTCTGTGGAAAAACCCGTAGAAAAACATGGTCTCCTACCTCAAAAGATAGCGGCCGTCTCTGCCTATTAGCATAGCTTTTCTGTTGGCTCTGAGCCGTGAGCAACCTTTGTCTAATGAGCTTAATTTTCTCAGTAGTCTCGAGTACAATGTCAAGTCCTAAGGCAGCTATCTCACCCACCTTGGTCCAACAAACAGCAGACCTACAAGGTCTGCCATACAACGCCTCAAACGGAGCCATCTCAATGCTTACCTGATAACTGTTGTTGTAGGCAAACTCAATAAGCAGTAGATGATCTTCCTAACTACCACCTAAGTAAAGCACACATGGCCGAAGCATGTCCTCCAAAATTTGGATGGTAAGCTCTGACTGGCCGTCCGTCTGTGGATGGAATGCCATACTAAGGTCTAATGCTGAACCAAACGTTGCTTGAAGTCCTTTCCAGAACTTGGAAGTGAACTTGGCATCCCTATCCGAAACAATGGTTACTGGAACTCCATGCAACCTTACAATCTCTTTCACATAAAGAGCACCAAGTGCCTTCGCATCATCTGTTACCTTAATAGACAAAAAGTGAGCCGTCTTGGTCAATGTGTCAATAATGACCCATACGGCCTCATTGCCTTTCCGTGACCTTGGAAGACCTGTCAAAAAATCCATAGCAATCTGCTCCCATTTCCACTGCGCTACGGGCAACAGTTGTAACAAACTGGCTAGTCTCTGATGCTCGGTATTCACCTGTTGACAGGTAAGACACTTAGCCATAAACTGCGCAACATCTTTCTTCATCCCGTTCCACTAATACTGACGTCTCAAATTGTGATACATTTTAGTACCACCTGGATGAACTGCAAAACGGGAAGTGTGAAACTATGATGGCACTGGTTTTTAGGCCAGCGCGTCCTATGATGAACCAAAGATTGACCAGATAGCGAATCCAGATGCGGAAGCAAGAAACAAGTCAATGGTCTCCTAAGGCACAATACATCTCTAATACACTTTGATAACCTTCCATGAGGTCGTGGAACTCAATGAGAACTGACGCGGAAGTAAAAGATCGAAAATATGACAAATAAGCCCCCAGGGGCAAAATAGTCATTTTACATGGAAATGACGTCCTTAGAATGTATATTATTCCCGAGACACATCCATGACTTCCCGTGAAGTCACGGAACTCAAAAGAAAGTAGCGGAAGCGAATTATAAGAAAACTGGACAAAAATAGCCCCAAGGGCAAAATGGTCATTTCTAAAAAATATAAAATCGGGTACTATTGAGCACACCACTGGGAAGACAGCAAAAAATTAATATCAAATCAGGTCATGGGGGTTAAAATGCTGCAAAAATACAACTGAAAGCTAAACTTTGCGAGGGATTTCTAGTACTAAGATGACATTTTCTGGAAAAACATAAAGAAGAAACCCACCCTAAAATTACGTTTTCTAAGTGACCATGTGAAGATTGGAATTTATTTCTCGAAGGAAAACCCCAAAATTAGATTATGCAATAAAAATGTAAAATGAGTCCATAGGAGGCTCAAATCACCAAGGATGAAGTTTTTCTTGAAAACGATCATGCACGCAAACTTAACTTACCCATTAGGATGTGCTACAATGACCCATGACTTTAAAATATCGCCGATGCAAAATTCTACCCCCCCCCCTCACGGTCAAAAAGGCAAAAATGAACTAGAATTGGGAAATTTGAAAACTAAAATTAACAAATGATTTTAAATTACCGTTTTACCCTTGGCCACACTTCATGCATATTAAGTGGGTCCTAATGAATGTGCTCATGCACACTTTGCATCAACCGATTTGGAAATGAACCCTTAAAGGCTCGGATTTTACTATTTTAACCCAAAATGCAAAGTATGAAACTAAAATGCAAAAATGAAAACAAAATGGTGATTGGCCCCTGGCCACACCTCATACATATT